TGTGTAAGGGAAGATATTTGCTCCCGGACAAGACAGCGACTTCTGCTAAGGGTCTGCTCTCACCTCTAATCAGCCTAACTCCTCTTGACAGCAAGATAACAATATCCACAACCCAAGCAGATCTACAGGGGCAAGATTTCACGCGAAGCAATCCCTTCATGAAATGCCAATGGTGGTATCTATGGTTACTGTTGTGGGGAAGATGGGTTTTGCAGGCCACCCCATTTGCCTTTCTCAGTCAGGGTTCGTTGCAGGAGATGCCGTGCCTTGTATGCTCCATAACCCTTCTCTGATGTGATCTTTGACCTCCGGGCACTGATATTCGGAGAGAACAACTATCTTTGACATTTATACCCATGTTCCCTTTCTCATCTCATTTCTTCTCATTGTATCCCCTTTTTACCCACAGGAAACCAGCACAAATAAAATCTCTCCTCAAGTGTGCTCTTTTGAAGGCCATACCAGCCGTTATTACGCCACATTATGCAGTTTTTTAAAAAATGCATCAGTCGCTATAGGTTGTAAAGGTTGTAGAGGATGATTTCCGTGTGATTGTGTGAGGTGAGCCGGCATAATGCGAATGACCTTGAGATGTCCTTTAGCATCACGGGAAGCAGGTCAGTTAATTGGCTAATGGGCAGGAGAGAAAACGCGACTGCGTTTGCAATAGTGCGAGCAAAGACTCGCCTGCTGCTGCTGTCTTTTCCTTGGGTGCAAAATGTAGATCAGAGAAATGTGCAGTTTGTGCACAGTCTCGAGAGAGCCTGCCACTCAAATCCGAAGGTCTGTATGAATACCAAAACACACAGGCAGAGAGAGAGTGAGTGAGAGAGAGAGTGAGGGAGACAGGAGAAGGAATGAAACAAAGAAAGTGGGATGGAGGATGAGGGAGGTCGGAGGCTAGAATGAGCTAGAAGAGCCAGCTTGAAAGAAATGGGCGGTAATGCGCTTCTTTTACCTTTCTCTATTTTATCTTGTGATCAACTAACCAACAATCACTGTTTGTGATCGAGCCTCTATATATATGCAATGTGTATCTGGAGAGGTGTCTGTCAGTGTGCCAGGACAAGTGGTGTGTTGTGTTGGTAAGCAGGTTGTGTGTATATTCGGCTGATTATCGTCTGTCTGTGCGTGGCACTTTGAATTTGCGCCAGAGGAATTATTATGCTTGCGCTTGTGAAGCCTGCTCACTCCCTTTCTCCTTCTTGCTCTCTGCTCAGCTTTCTGCAAGGAAAATGAGGATGAATCAAACTGAGAAATCACTGTGGATGCCTATTAAAATTTAAACCTGAACATTTTGTTGTTATTCATGTATATTTAGCTTTGACATAATAAAAGGCCTCTGTGCAAAAGCATATTATTAAGATTATATCGGAGTATTATTCATAGCACATTGTTTAATCTTAGCTAAACCTTATTAATACATTGGATACTATTTTTTTTACGTAAAGGGCGTTCAATTTCAGTGTCAGGAGACGTATTGGATATTATGGTTATGCTTCAATCATCAACTTTTTCTCAGATATTTATGCTCAAAATTATTTAGAAAAATAAAAAGAGACACAAATGTTGTCACTAATAACAATTATTGACATTTAGTAAGAGCTATGAATTTAATGTAAATATATCAATGATCAATGATCTAATCTTGGAACAGTTTGATCAGAAAGTTTATATTGAAATTTTCTGACTTTTGATTGTACACTTTGGTATCTTGTGAGACTGCCTTTTGAAACCGTTTTCTCGGAAGCCATATTGGAGAAGCAGGAGACCAAGTCTCATTGCCTTCTAGAGGAAACAACTGAGATGTTAAAGAGATCTCATTTGTGATATTTCTTTCCTATGGGCAGTTTTTATCTGAACATCTCAGATCAATTTTAATTCAAGCTCAAAATTTACATGCACAATTTCTATGGTTTTCTTTGTAGATTTGCTCGTTTCTCATTTGAACACTAAGGGTAAAATTCTCCCAGAAGTGATGTGATCACAAATATGGAATGTGATGAAAGCTCACATTAGCTACTGAAATCTTCTCTAAGTTATTTAAGTCTGAATGTGAGACTTGTCTAATAAGCGCATTCTGACTTCACCTGTCAGTGCGCTCTATCCTCCCTGGAGCTGGATGTTCAGTTACCTCAGTAACTCTCAAGGCATTTTCTCTAATCAGTTGGCAGAGTGAGACTCATTCAGTAATTATATTCAGAGGTTACATTTGTGTTCTAAATCTGTCAGAGCCGTTGAAAACGATTAAGTATTAGGATACTTTTTCAAATCAGAATGAAGAGCATAGCAAATTTATTACAGAGTGCTGTTTACTCTTTTAACGATGCCATGTCGGAATAGCAGCAAGAGCATAAAGACTTAAAAAAATGGCATCTGGCATGGATTCTAATTATAAAACTATACAGCAAAGGCTACACATGCCACTAATGTTATTTAGCAGCTATATAAAAGACTCAGGGATATTCTGTTGTCCTTTAATCTTCAAGTAGTGTGCTAAATCCAATGGATGAGAATTGAATCCTATTTTGTGTGGTTGTTCTATATTTATGATTGTAGAAATTATATCTTAGCATTGCCTGCCATGTCTAGCTTACCTTCACTGGTCGTATTTCATGTATCCCAGGTTATCTGATCTAATGTCAGTCATCTGTTGTGTCTTTATGAGCAGATGAGTCTTTTTACTGCTATTGTAATACTTTTATCAATTATCCTCTGATTCCTTGAATATTAAAGAAACATTCATTCATTTTTTGACATTTTCTTGCATAAAAAAAACTAAAAAGCTATTCAATCAAATTTAGTCCAAGCGTCTTTAAATGAATATCTTCTAATCTAGACAAATAGTTTCAATAACAGAATTAATGTCTTTACATTGAAAAGCAATACTCAAAAGTACCTTGTGCCTGAAATATTGAAACTGAAACCTGCACAATGAACCATGTTTAAAACTCACTCAGGTGGAAGCTCTACGGCGCCACCGTCTGAGGGCTTACTGCAAAAGCACTGAGGCAGTCAGTCAGATGGATGCTGCTGTTGTCCTGTATCGGGAACTGTGAGGGATGGATGCAGTGGTGTCGCACGCTTGCAAAGCCCCAGAGTCTTCACGGCCAGAGGGGGGCAACCTGAGCCTCTACTCTAACTCTCAGAAAAATCAAGTGGCCCACTTTGACACTCAGCTGTCATGTGTAGTCACGCTGTCTGGAGAGGGGTGCAAACTCTTCCACCCAGCCATCACACATCCTGGGGCACTTTTCCCACCCCTGCTGCCCAGATTTCAGCATCTTGGCAGCTCATTTCCCGCTCTCTCTTTCTCTCTCGGTTATCCACCTGTGCCCTCATCCACCCCTTTTTAATATTCAATCCGGCTTTAGCCTTATTAGCATTGATATGCAACCTTGGAGTCGGACAACAAAGGAGAAAGCCCTAAAGCAGAGTAGTGAGGCTGCTTGGAGGAGGGAGTAAAATTGAAGAAGGATAGAGGTGAAGTAGAGGTAGGGAGGATAAGATGCGAGGTGAAAGAAGAGGAGGGGCTGTGTCTACGTGGCCATAGTTCTGTGTAATGGCCATTAGGAGCGCATGTAGCTGGGACGTTAGCACTGCGGAGGAGGAGGAGAAATGTATAGGCCTATGTGGAAGCTCTTTCCCCTTAACTTTCTCCCTCCCACACCTTATTTCCTCTCTCACTTTAAGCATCGTGGACAAGCCCCCTTACTGCCCCAATGTTTTTTCTGCCTCGCAAAAACTGTGTTGCTACCTCCTGCCTCCCTTCCTCGCACAAAAGAAAGGGAGGCAGGAGGTAAGGCAGGGATTCACTGTTGGGAATCGCTCTCTTTTCAATTAGCATTTTGATTGCATGTTAAAGCCCACACACAAACAGTCAAACATTTGCCTGAAAAATTAATAATGCTGCCCACATTTAAATTTGAATGTGTGCTGCTCAGATAGGTGATTTGACAGTCACTGCAAGGTAGTAAATACATATACCTGTGCTACCTTGGCCGTTCGAAATGGTGCAATTAAGTCTTCCACCTTTATATACGCAGGCCTAGGATTTTTCTTACCCAAGTTCCATTTGTAAGCTTCGCTACTTCCTTTTCTCTCTCTCTCTCTTCGCTTCTCTCTCTCGGGGAGAGTTGGTTCCTGGCAGGCACAGTCTCCCACTAGCCTGGTGACAACCGGGGGAGGCAGTCTCTGAGCCCTTAGTCAACAATGGACACATACACTCACACAACACACACACAGCGCAACATGTTTAGTGCAGCCTGCCCTACCTCTATCAGAGAAGATGGGCAAACACAGGCAGTGATCTCCAGACGTGCCTGAACACTAACTACACTATGCACGGAAACACACCCTCACACACTGCCTAATAGATTCTCATGCACACATACACACGAGGTCACTCCCACTCATTCTCATTTACAAACTTACACTCTGGCACGTACGCTAGTACACAGTTATACAACCTTATATGTTTGCATCGTCTTCTACCTAAATGTGAATTTTAAACAAATTTTTATGCATTTGTTTGGGAAATCATAGAGAAAAATTATATAATTATCACATTAATAATACGAATTATATGACTGTGTCATTTTGACAGATCAAACCGGAGCGGCGAGCATTAAAATGAGGGTGAAAATGGAAGATGAGACAAAAAAAGGTGAGCATTAAGATTCAACACTGCCTCTACATCGTAAATGTTTTAAACCGCAGCATCTAAGAACCTGCTACACCTGTCCTTTCTCTCCTCTCATCTCCTCTCCACTCTTCTCCTCAGCCTTGTTCTCAAATAAAGCTCCTCTCATCCTAAAATAAAGGGGAGGAGTAGCATGCAGAATTGAAAAAGAGGAGAAAGGATAGAGAGAGAGAGACAGAGGGAGACTCCAATGCTGCCACTGCAGCTGCAGGCAGTGAGACACAGCAAGGGCAAACACACACTCGTGCATTCACACACACACACATTTGTCTGCACAAAACCACCGCAGCATCCTTACCATCTTAAACCCGTTCCACTCCATTTGTAAGTCGGCGGGCAGAGTTCTCGCCTATAGCCGTGCTAATGTCTCCTCACTTGGAGATCTCTCTCGGTCTCTTCTCTCTCTCTCTGTATGTGTCTCAGCAGTGGCGAGGCAGCGTGTGGCCAGCGGGAGAGAGAGTGGGCATTCCTCCTCCGAGTGAGGCTGCTTGTGAATGCACAGGCTTCGGCATGAGCTGAACGCTGCAGCCCCTCTCCCTGCCTCCTCCTCATTGGTGAGGTCAGAGCAGCCCCCTCCTCCTCACTTCTTTCACTGGCTGCCTCAGCTGTCCGTCATCTGCTCTACTCTGGAAAATTAACGCTTTCGCTCTGGCAGCCTTGCAGACAGAGGCACAGGCACTTTGGCTAGCAGAAGCCCATTCAGAAGCAGCACAGGCAATCAATCGCAACTGAGGACTCAGCTTGAGTTAGAGCGGACTGATTGCACCTACAGGCACTATGGTAATAGGGTGCCTGCACAGCACTGCTAATTAATGCAAGTTAAAAGCATGCAATGATTGCAGAGTATGTTAAAGCTCTTATATATTCTTTTACACACACACACATATATATATATATATATATATATATATATATATATATATATATATATATGACTTTACATTAGCCCTATATATACATGCACAGTATGTATATATAGGGCTAATGTAAAGTCAGATGGTCATTATCACAGGTTTTATTTTCATTGATGACTTGCTGACTTTACCTTTACAGGGATTAATACATTACCTAAATAAATACATGAACATTAAAATTTTAATTTAATTTACATTATTTTGTTTACCTGTTTGATGAGACAGAACATTAACATGGTAGGAAACATATGCAGGGCTGCCCTCGACAACAGTCATTATTCTGAATTATTTAACCACTTTGAGTACATGTGACCAATCAGAATACACACACACACACACATATATATATATATAAATGTGTGTGTATGTATGTATTTACATATCATATCCATTATTGTATAATGGTTTATACAGTTTATATATAATTATATATAACATTTATTATTATGTATATTTCAGTGCATTGCTATCAAAAACTGCAAAAAGTGGTCAATAGGCTACACCAGTTTTCAATAGAGTTCATTAAATATTTCAATAGATTTAGAATATTAAGACGCCAAATATTAAGTCGTTGTTAAATGTGCGACGAAATATGTTTAATTACATAAACCACAATTTTTATCTACTGAGTATCAGGTTGAAGAAAGCACAGGTTACTGATCACACACCTGCTCTTTGTACCATAACTGCACGCACATTCACACACACCTATAGCCTACGCAAAATGCGCACCCTAAAATAATCTCTCGATACTCATTTTCTGTCTTCATCCCTATTGTCGCCGATTATATGATTAAGAGAAAGGAAACGAGCGAAGTTTGTGAAATTAGGAGTATTACGAGGGATGAAGGGATTATTCTTAAGGCTGCGCGTGACGGTGTTTCAGTGATTTTCACTACAGGCTAATTCTCTTTCAAATGCGAGCACATTACTCACCATGACCATTCTCGTGTCCGGAGGCGAACGAGAAAAAAGAAAAAGCTCGTTATTTTATTCAGGAACCCGGTCAAGAAATTAAACGTTGCGCTTTTGAGCGTTTTTGGGGGAGTCGTTCCCGAAAGTCTTGGAGGAGGTGTCGCATATAGGACAGTCGGATGCAGGCAGGTCGGTTGAGAGATGTTAGAGATGGATTCGGAAACTTACAGCTTCGGTCGGAGGTTGTCTATATTTTCGTTTATGAAGGTGGAAAGTATCCGAAAGAAAACAATAAAAACAAAAAAGAACGGTTCCCTCAGTGACTCTGTGGAGCTAGTAGCGCGAGCGTCCCCTTTTCCTCCACACCATTTATGGAACGTAGTGTCAGGCTGCTGTGAGATCTGATTGGCTGAGCGGGGACAGACAGGGGTGACGCGCTCTGCTCTTGAGGAGACGGCTGGAGAGGGTGAGGCGCGAGTCAGCGGGGAGCGTCCTGACTTTGGGAAAACAGCGACTCTGATTGACAGCTAATTTAACCTTCGCTTGCGGGTGGGAGACAGGTACACGTAAAACGTTTGACTTTAAGTGTATTCTGTCAAAAGCAAACTGTATCTGTGATGACTAGGTTAATAGATAGGCATTAATTTACTATTTGGAACCTGAGGGAAAACGCACGCGCACATACAGTGTGTTTTACCACAGTCGACATCAGTGTATGAATTATGCAATAACTTTCAAAGGAAGCAAATATTTTTAAAAGGAATTTCTAAATGTAATTTTCGAGTTGTGTTGCAAATCGAAAATTATATTTAGATTGTCACACGCAATCTGTTGTGCAATACAAGTTGTAATTTGGCTCCACTAGCAAAGTTACTACAGTACCCAAGACTTAATTTTAAACAATTAACACAAACGTTAGGATATATTTTTGATATAAACATTTCTATTTCTATAATTATAACTTGGTGCTGGTTCATGGTAGGTTTTTATAAAAAGTGGTTAAATATTGTGACTTGATTCTTATTAATCCAGGAAACATATTTTTAAGTCCACAAATAAAATGACACATTCTGTTGTGTCATAAGATTGTTGTGTCTGTAGTGTCATAATTGTGTATTGAGCATAAAGAAAAAAATGTCTCAAATCAGCTATTTTAAAGAATTTACTACTTTTATGTGAAATGTGTTCTCTCTCATTTATGAGAAATGAATGCACCCTTATTGACTTTATTTATCGCCAATAATACTCACCTACAACTTTAATTGCAAATAATTTTATCAATTTTTTTTGTCTTGTTATTGCTTCTCAATGTCAAATCAGTGTAGAAGATCAGTAACAGCAGCATAAGCTAATTCATATTCATAAGTTTATCTTC